ATTTGGTGTGCACTGGGGAAGAATGAGTATTCTGCCATTTCGTGTAGTATTCTATCAAATATTGTAAATTGCTTGCCGAAATCCCAACTGTAACTATAGATTCATTTCTCCTTTCAAATCAGTTTTTAATTAATATATTTTGATGTTCTCTTATTCAGTGTAAATAAACATTTATGATTATTAAGTGCACATGATGAACTGACCACTTGATCATTATGAAATCATCTTCTTTATTTCTGGTAGTATTTTTTGCTCTGAATATACACATATATATTAAAATAACCACTCCAACATTCTTTTAATTAGCATCAGCATGAAAAATTTTTTCCCACCCTTGTATCTATTTGTCTTTATATTTAGTGCATTTCTTTTTTTTTTAAGATTATTTATTTTAGAGAGAAAAAAAGAGAGAGCACATGCAAGTGGGGAGAGGGGCAGAATTTGAGAGAGAGAGAGAGAATCCTCAAGCAGACCCCATGCCAGGCACATCCATCCCAGGACCCTGCGATCATAACCTGAGCTGAAATCAAGAGTCAGATGCTTAACCAACTGTACAACCCAGGTGCCCCTGGTGCATCTTTTAATGTAATTGTTGTGCTGATAATCTGATAATCTCTGCCTTTTGTGTCTTTAAGGCACTTACATTTAATGTAGCTATTCATATAATTAGGCTTAAAGTCTATCATTTTGCTATTTGTTTTCTATTTCCCTCATCTCTTTTTTCTCCTTCTTCATTTTTTCTGCTTCTTTTAGATTTGTTAATATTACTTAGATTCTCTTTTATCTATTTTATTGGCTTATTAGCTGTAACTCTTTACTTCCTTATTTTAGAAGTTGCTTGTATTAGTTTTCTATTGCTGCAATACAAATCACCACAATTCAGTGTCTTAAAATAACACTCATTTGTTATCTCACATTTTCCATGGGTCAGGATTTCAGGCAGTTTCCATAGGACAGAATTTTTGCATTCTTTTCAGGGTCTTAATAGGGTGGCAACCAAGATGTTAACCTGGCAGGATTCTTTTCAGGAGGCTCAATTAGGGAATAACTTACTTCCAAGAAACACTTTAGCCTCTTGTGATTGTGTGACAGAGGGCCCCATCTTACTAGCCACTGGCTAGAATCTATTTTTGGGTGCAAGAGCCTCCGTGATCCTCACCGCTGGTGGTTCCAACAGGCCTGTTTGCTTCTTCAAGGCCAGCAGGAGAGCTCCCTGTCGGGGTTGCTGCGGAGCATGATGTCACGAAATGATATCATCGGAGTGATGTGTTTTGCCTAATGTAGCCTAATCAACAGATGGATACCCCACCACCAGTACTATATTCTGTCGCCTAGAAACAAGTCCTATGTTTCACCGAGAAAGATTATACTAGAGTAACTCATTGGTGGGCACCCTGGGGGTATCCGCACCACTTCTTAAAGAGTTATAGTCCACGGCTTTATTTTACCAGTCTATTTTCACCTGATATGCAGCTTTACATAAACGACACAGATGTGTAATTCACTTTTGTTTCTCTCCCCCCACCCTTTTTTTCCACTGCATTTTACTTTTGTATATGTTATAAATCCCACATTATTGCTGTTTTTATTAATGTAGTTCATTATATATTTTTTTAAGATTTTATTTAGTTGAGAGAGAGAGAGAGAGCCCAGCAGGGGGAGTGGCAGGCAGAGGGAGAAGCAGACTCCCTGCTTAGCAAGGACCCCCATGTGGGACTCGATACCAACGACCCTGAGATCGTAACTTGAGCCGAAGGCAGACGCTTAACCAACTGAGCCACCCAAGTGCCCCCGTAGTTCGTTATCTTTTTAAAAAAAGATTTAAGTATTACAAAAAGACACATTTTTATTCATGTAGTGACCATTTCTGTTGTTGTTCATTTCCCTGTATACAATCAGATTTCAATCTAATGTCATTTCCTTCTGCCTAATAAGAGTTCTTTCACATTTCTTGTAGTGTGGATCTGCTAATGATAAATTCCTTCAGCTTTCATATGTCTGAATGTGTCTTTCGTTAACCTTCGTTTTCTGGAAGGTTTGTTTCCTGTATCAGTACATTTATTTATTTATTTATTTTCTAGCGGTACTTTAAAGGTGTTGCTTCACTATGGTGTTTCTTGCATTGTTTGCAATAAGAAAGCTACTATAATCCTGATTTTTGTTTCTTTGTATGTAACATACCCTCTCCCTGCCCCCTCCCCCCAGCTGCTTTCAAGAATTAAAAACAAAATTTAAAAAAATAGATTTTCTCCTATCAGTGGTTTCAAGCTATACAATTATGTAGGTCTTGGTATAGTTTTCTTCATGTTTCTTATGTTTAGGTTTTATCAAGTTTCGTTTTCATCAAATTTCAAATTCTTTGGTCATTATTACTGACTTATTACTTTGTCCTCTTGCCTCCTTCAGGGACTTCATTTATAAGTATATTAAGCTGTTACAAAGTGTCCCACAGCTTACTGTATTTTGTTCTATTTCATTTTGTTTTAATTTTCCATAATTCATGTTAGTTTCTAAGCCAAAGTCTTCAATCTCATTTTTTTCTTTATGTAATGTTTAATCTGCTACTAACCTATTTTCATCTATCACATTGTAGTTTTCACCACTGTAGTTTTCACAAGTTTGATTTAGACCTTTATTATATATTTCATATCTCTGAAAGAGCTTTATGGAGACCCATTTAAGTGTAAATTGAATGGCTTTTTGTATACAATTGAGTAACCTCTCCATAATCTAATTTTAGGACATTTTAATTTACCCCTACAAGAAACCCTATGTCCCTTTGCAGACCCTCTCCATACACTAGCCACCCCCTCCCTCGCCCCACCAGCGCCCCCACCGCCATCCCAGCCCTGGACAACCACTAGTATACTTTCTCATTCTTTAGCTTTGCCTAATCTGATCATTTCATGTAAATGGGATCATACAATATGGTCTTTTGTGACTTTTTTCACTTTGCACAATGTTTTCAAGGTTCATCTATGCTTCAGCATGTATGCCTCATTCTCTGTTATTACTGAAAAATACCCCATTGAATGGATGTAGATTTTGTTTTCCAAGTCACCTGCTGATGGACGTTTGTGTTGCTTCTACTTTTTGGCCCTTGTAAATAACACTCCATGGACACCCGTGTACAAGGTTTTTGCGAACATGCTTTCCTTTCTCTTGGATATATACCTGGAAGTGGAAGTGGGTCTATATGATCACTCTGTTTAACATTTTGAGGAACTGCTAAGCTGTTTCCCAAGGCAGATGCATCATTTTATATTCCCACCGGCAGCACCAACGTTCCACTTTCTGCACGTCCTCACCTTTTATATTATTTATTTTAACTCTGCTTATTTTTTTGAACATAACTGTTTTCAATATCCTTGCCTGTTTGATTTTAACATCAGTTTCTGTTCTGATTAGTGATTGTTTTTTCCCTTCTCATTATGGGTTTTCTTTTCCTCCTGTTTTGCAAACTTGGTGGTTTTTAATTGGATGCCAGACGTTGTAAATTGTACGTTAATGGCTGTTGGACATGTTTCTGTGGATATTATTTCGCTTTGGTCTTTCACACATTTAGGTGATTTGTTCACAGTCTGAGCCGTGAAGTGGCATTAGAGGGGCGACCAGTCTCCGGCCACCTGCTCCCCACCGCGGAGGCACACCTGTCTGAGCACTCTACCCAGGGCCCCCAGCGGGTGCAGCTTTCGGCCGGACGGGAGGAGCCAGTCACTGTTCCTGCCTCTCCGCGTCTCCAGACACCGCACGCCCTTTCCGGGCGGCGCCCCGCCCTCAGCGGACCCTCGACAACTCGCGGAACCCCGGCCTGATCGGTGGTCGGCTCCCCGGCCGGTGGGCGGATCCCCGGCCCGCTCGGTCGGCTGACCCCGGCCGGTGGGCGGATCCCCGGAGTGGCGGGCAGGCGCCAGTAGGCGCGGGGAGACGGGCCCCCGGACACGTCGGAAAGCGACTCGCTCCGGCGCTGGCATCACCGGCCCCCTGCACTTCCAGGATCCCTCTTCTTTCCTACGGATGCCAAGCGTCTGGGGAAGCACACCGAGTGTTCTCCCTCTACCACAACATAATTTTTTTTAAGGGAACTCAGTGCCCAGAGCCTCCCCTAAAATCCAAACTCAGGGACTTGTTCTCTGTGTCGGCGAAGTAGGGACGGGCCGCGCTCTGCGGACCGGGCCCATGCCACGCCTCCAGGCTCCAGCACCGCCTACGGGCAGCGCGCAGGCGCAGGATCCCGGCGCGCCGGCCGCGCCCAGCCACGACCGCGCCGGCGCCAAACATCCAGAGTTCCAACCGCTCGTCCGCGCCTGCCAATCAGAGTGCACGCTGACCCTTGGTTCCCGCCCACTGTCCCTGCTGCCAATCACCTGTCCCGGCGCGCAGCCGCGGCGAATCCAAAGGGCACTCTGGGCTGGGGGCGGAAGAGCAGAAGCCCGCCGCCCGCAGGGATGGAGGAGGCAGAGGAGTAAGCTAATTGCCGGCCGGCGGCGGGCGGGGAGGATCCTGCAAGACCCGGGGGTACTCCGCCTCCCCCCCGGTAGTCCCGGCAGCCCGCTGTGCCGGCCGCGGCGATTGCGGGAGGGACTTCGCTTTCCCGGCGCGCGCACAACACGGCGGGCTCCCCCGCACTTACACGTTCCCTCGCGGGTAGCGGCGTCCACACAGGGCACGTTGGAAGGGTCACTTAGCTTCTGTGTCCCCTGCGTCCGCGTGCATTCCCGCATCCCTGCCTGCCTGGGGGCGCTGCAGGCCCCCGCGGGGAAGGACCAGGGGAGCATGGAACCAGCCTCCTCAGACCCTGCCCCAGGACGCTTCCTGTCTGGGGCTCCGCTGCCCGTCAGAGCGGGGCCCCTTATCTTTCTGTTCCTGCGTTTGCCTGACTCTTGCTCTGCTTAGCTTTACTCAGGGCATGTATTGCCTTTATACACACGCCGCTCTTGCTCCCAGATACCCTGCAGGTCTACCGGTCAGGGCAAGACTCAGCACTGATTCGGGTCTGCATGTGTCTGTGCACGCCAGCAGTCTCCCGTTTCCTCTGTCTTCTTCCTCCCAGGGCCCTGGCCAAGCTGGCAGACATCCTGGAGCCCATTGGCCGGCAAGAAGAGGCAGAACTGCCGGCCCAGATCCTGGCGGAGTTTGTGATGGTATGTGCAGGATGGGCAGCTGGGGCCTCTCCTGGGTCCTCTCCGGGAGCTAGTGGGCAGCACCGATGGTGGGCACCCTGGAAGGCAGTCTCAGCCTGCGGCTCACACAGGTAATGATGTTCCCTGCCTCTGCCCACTCTCCAAACAGGACTCCCGCAAGAAGGACAAGCTGCTCTGCAGCCAGCTTCAGGTAGTAGACTTCCTGCAGAATTTCTTGGCTCAGGAGGATGTTGTCCAAGGAGTAGACCCCTTGGCTTCTGAAGACACCAGCCGTGAGTTGGCACCGGGCTGGGATGGGGAAGTAAGGGGATGTCAGTCGGGTCAGCTCTTTGGCTGATGGGAAGACAGAGGCCCCAGTGTTGCAGGCAGGCAGGTCATTCTCCCTTATGTTCTCATTCTCCGTGGCTCCTTTCAGGGCAGAAGGCACTTGCAGCCAAGGAGCAATGGAAGGAGCTGAAGGCCACCTACCAAGAGCATGTAGAAGCCATCACAGGTGCCCTGACCCAGGCCTTACCCACGATGGAGGAGGCTCAGAGGAAGCGGGCGCAGCTCCTGGGAGCCCTGGAAGAGCTCCAGGCCAAGGTGAGCCAGGCTGAGGGGAGAGGAGGGCAGGCAGAGAGGAGGGAAAGGGCATGCATGCCGGGTTGGGCCTACTGGCCACCTCCCAGAAGCCAACCAGAAAAACACTCCTCTTCTCCTTGTTCCTCTGCTTTGCTTCCCTACAGAAGCAGGTGGCCACGGAGAGACTGAGGACAGCCCAGAAGCAGTGGCAGCTGCAACAGGTGGGTCCACACCCCTAGGAAGATCTCCCTTCCTCACCACCATGCCATTGCATGGGCCAAACCCTCTGCCTGGAGGCCTTCCGCCTCTTCTCTTATGAGGCATTGTAGCACAGGTACCAGCATCCTCACTTCCTGGGTTATGACTGGGCATTCCCCTCACTTCCCTTGCTTCTGGGTCTTGCCTGTGAAGTGGAGGTGACGTTAGCACCTACCGTATAGAGTTCAGTTGATGAAATCGTTAGCAGAGCAAGTGTTTATGTGGACACATGGCAGCACATAGCAGACTAAGTAAGTTATATCTGTGCTCCTTTCCTCCAGAATGCTTCACACTGGAATAGGTCATTCCCACCCTTTTTCTCTAGGGCCGTTGTTTTGCCTAAAGTGGGTACGGTCCCTCTTTCCATCTGTGGGTCTGAGCCCCAAGTTGGGTCTAGCCTGGAGGGGTTAAGAGAGTGGCTGTAAGACCTGCACATCTGAGGAGCCGTGTTTGCCTTCTCATTCCTGGTAGGAGAAGCATCTGCAGCATCTGGCAGAAGCCTCTGCAGAGGTGAGGCAGCGGCAGAGAGGGATGCAGCAGGAGCTTGAGCGGCTGTCTCAGGAACTTGGAACACTGCAGGAGCAGGCGGGGCAGAAGCAGGACACGCTTCACAGGTGAGGCTGGGAGTGTGGGCTGCAGACCCAGCGTGGTCCAGTTTCCCTTCTTTACAGCCCACCTCTCCTTCCCTGCAGGCACCAGGCCTTCCTCCAGCTGCTACAAACTCTGCAGGGTCAGCTGCCGTTCCCCGAGGCAGAGGCAGAGCTGCCACGGAAGCTGGATCTTCCTGAGGATGAGCCCCAGGAGCAGAATCCTGGGGCTATCATAGGGAAGGACAGGAGTGTGCCATCCAAGGTGAATTGAGAGGTGGGCTGGGGGCTGGGGAGGTCAGAAAGAAGCGGGGAGGTAGGCCTCACCCACCACCCATACCGTGTCTCCATCCCTAAGGCTGATGGCCCACAGCCTGCTGGAGATGCGAGCTCGCCTGAGCTTCCTGAGGGACAGCAACATGGGAAAGGAACCTAGAACAGGTCAGACTCCAGCTCAGGCCTTGGTGTCCCTGGACTGCAGGTACGGATGGAGGGAGGACCTCTGGTCTCTGTCTCTGGGCTCTATTTTCATGGAGGGGACAGAAGGTGGGAAGGAGCAAAGATTTATCTATGGCTGAAGCTTATCACCACATCCTGTGCCCAGCCTGCCCTGGGCTAACCCCTCTCTGTCTTCTCGAACCCCCTAGTCCCACCCTTATTGCAGGATGGACTAGGAACTCCTGAGTGCAGCCTGGTTTCTGACCATGACCTAGATGGGGGTGCGCTCTGGATTCTGTTAGTTAAAAGCCCTAGAGCTCTCAGTTACCTCTTTTCCTATGTTGGTGGGAAGAGCGACACTTGAAGCCAACAGTATGACAGGTGCTAGGACTGGTGTGAATAGAGAGGGTGCAGATGGGAAGGGGGCCCTGGCCTGGAGCCTCCGGGGCTGCTTGTCCAAATCCATATGAATCGAACATGCTGAGCTGATTAAATCGGGGAGGAGGAGAGTGCTTTGTGCAGGTGGTTAGATATGGGAAGATAATTTTAATTGCTGACCCAAGCATTGATTGAATCCGTGCTTTGTGCCAGGCCCCTTGCTATGAACTGAAGCAACAGCAGCGGGCTTGTCTGATAGTCCTTGGCTGTGGGGAACATAATGACCGTGAACAGTAAACAGGTCAATACCTGTTTGCAGAGTATGGCAAACATGGAAAACAAACTAAAACAATAGTATGGTAAATTTAGAGCGGTAGTAACAAGAGAGACCCTCATCTGCCGGGGGGGGTGTGTGTGTGTGTGTGTGTGTGTGTGTGTGTGTGTGTGTGTGTGTGGTGTTTTCTGTCTTTTCGTCTCCGCTCCGCCATGTGTCTCTTGCTGGGTGCAGGGACAGTGAGGGCATAGGCGTGTGGGGGAGATGACCTCCCTGGTTGGGAGTGTGGGGCTGCTCATGAAGAGAGAGAGGGATACCAGTGACAGCTGCCGTGGGAAACCCATTCTTCAGCTGAGAACAGGACCCTTCCATGTGAGCAAGACCTAAGCATCTCTGAGAAAGAGACACCGGGGCTTTGCTTTTGGCAAGAGAGTTTCAAGAGACTCTGGGCTCTGCTGTGTCTCTGACCAGGGTGCCTTCTTGCAGGTGGAGATTGAGATCTTTGCTCACTCTGATCATTTGCTCTACTTTTCTCAGGTCCCGAGTGTTCTGATTAGTCTTTTGAATGTGTTGGCCCCATTGTTTAGGTATGAAATGGCACAGATAACAGAGGTCTTTGAAGACTCAGTCGTGACGGAGTGACGGGGTCGGTGAGGACTGAGGATACTTCTCTAGGGAGCACACAGATGCCCGGAGAGGCTCCCTTTGTCTGCCCATCCACCTCCTCACAGGTGGTTCTGAATGTAGCCTTCGAGCAACCCACATAGCAGTCCTGTCCTTCCCCTGCTTCCCACTGGGTGGGCTCCCCTCCCCTGCATTCTGGTTTATTTCTGTAGTCTTACAGACCCTGAAATTTTTATGGTATGCATGGGAGAGCAAGAATACCACCCTGAGGAAGGAGGGCCTGCTAGGGGTGCTGGGGTATGGGTTGGGGTGGTGTGGACTCACCGTGTCCTTGCACACATGGTGGCTGACAGAGAGTCAGCAGGGACGGGAAGATACTCCCTGGAGCCGTGCGGGTGGAGGTCAAGGATATTGTCCTGAGATGCTCCACGTCAGCGGACAGGGGAAGAGATTGGGCGGAGGCACAGTAGTCAGACTTAGACCTCTGAGGAACTTCTGGCAACCAGCTTTGTCTCGAGGAGTATGGACGAGTCAGTGCACACATGAGGCCAAAGGAGAGGGGAGGCTTGAGTGTTTTATTGGCCAGTGTGGTCCGTGGCGTTGGTGTTCTGCACTGACAGCTCAGGAATTGGGATTTATTTTGAGATAGGAGCTGGATCTCGGCTTCTAGCTGCTCTGTCATCCCTTAGGTTCCCTTAAATACTGTCCTTGTTCACTGTTCTTGCACCAAGCATCCGTGTGCAAGGTGGGAGCCTCCCCCTGGGAAACTGTGGTCTCTGCTGCCTGCTGAGCATCTCCTCTTCCTGTTCTCCATCTGATGGAGGGACATAGAGACCAGTGAGGTGCAGGGAGGGATGGACACTAGTCAGGCCTGGAAGTGTCACTGATAAACAAAAGGGATGGTAGGCTTAGTCCAATTATAGAAAAACTCTGATTTCCATAAGAATAATGTTTTCCTTTTAAACAAAATTTTCTTTTGTGGTGAAATACTATTTTGCTTTTTTTCCCGAGTTTTATTTTCATATTTTCTAGCTATTGTCACATTTTTCTAAGAATTTTGCATTTCTAATTTTTTAAGCTTATTCGTATAAAGTTGTGATGATTTTTTTTTAATCCTTTTAATGTCTACAGCTTGTTCTAGGATGGCCTAATGTTAGACTCCTGATGTTTTTGTGTCTTACCTGAATTTCCCTGTGATCTATCTTCAGATATTCATTCAGTTTCAAATATTGAAAGAGTCAGAGATTGGCTTTTGTGATCCAGTGTCATATGTCAGTTCTGACTCATCAAATTGTAGTCCTTTCTCCATCTCCGACCCTGTGTGTTTTGGTGGAGAAGATGAACTTTTTTGGTAAACTTTTGTATCGGTTGATAAACTTGTGTATTTGGTTCTTGATTTGTTTTCTCAAATAAACATGTAAGGCTATACATTTTTTCTGGTTTTCTCTTAAGTATTTTCATGCTCATTCAATTTATAGAATATTTTCTTTCCCATTATAATTATTTGATTTATGAGTTTCTTAGAAAAATAATTTGAAATTTTCTACTCTATGTGAGAAGATAATCTTTCTAGGTTTATTCTAATTTGGTTGAAGAATGTTATCTATATAATAAAAACTTTGAAATTTGGTGAAGAGAGCGGTTAGAGCCATGAATGTGGTCTCTCTTTTTTTGTGTTTCACGTGGATTTGAAAAGAACGTCTCTTTTGGAATTGTCACGTGTGGTGATTTCTATATGTCTGTTAGATTATGCTTGTTATGTGTTCGGTTAATCTTTTATATACTTAATTATTGTTTTCTGATTATCACCTTCTCAGAGGTGTGTTCAGGTCTCCAAGTGTGACAGTGGATCTGTTTATTATTCTTTCTGGTTCTGGTAAAGTTTGCTTTACATGCTCTGTGGCTACTTGATGAAGGCATGGCACGTTGACACGTGTGTCTTTCTTCTAAATGGAACTTGACACTCATCTAGTGGCCTCCTTCATCTCTGGGTGAGTGTTCCTTAGCTTGAGATCTGATGAATGCCAGTACACCCTAGCCAGCTCCCTTGTCGATCCCTTGCCTGCTCCGTCTCTCCTACAACCTTCTGAGTTTCAACCTTTCTTTATCCTTATGTTTTTCACATTTAAAGGACTGTTTTTACAGATCCAGTTTCATAATTTTTGTCCCTAAGACTTTGTATTTGTGTCACATTTTTCGCTCACTTTCCTTTGTTTTTTTTTTTTTAATTTTATTATGTTATGGTAGTCATACATTACATCATTAGTTTTTGATGTAGTGTTCCATGATTCATTGTTTGTGCATAACACCCAGTGCTCCATGCAGAATGTGCCCTCTTTAATACCCATCACCAGGCCAACCCATCCCCCACCCCCCTCCCCTCTAGAACCCTCAGTTTGTTTCTCAGAGTCCATAGTCTCTCATGGTTCGTCTCCCCCTCCGATTCCCCCCCTTCATTTTTCCCTTCCTACTATCTTCTTTTTTTTTTTTTTTTAACATATATTGTTTCAGAGGCACAGGTCTGTGATTCAACAGTCTTGCACAATTCACAGTGCTCACCATAGCACATACCCTCCCCAATGTCTTATCACCCAGCCACCCCATCCCTCCCACCCCCCACCACTCCAGCAACCCTCAGTTTGTTTCCTGAGATTAAGAATTCCTCATATCAGTGAGGTCATATGATACATGTCTTTCTCTGATTGACTTATTTCACTCAGCATAATACCCTTTAGTTCCATCCACGTTGTTGCAAATGGCAATATTTCGTTCCTTTTGATGGCTCCATAATATTCCATTTGTGTGTGTGTGTGTACATATATATATGTATGTATGTATATACCACATCATCTTTATCCATTCATCTGTCGATGGACATCTTGGCTCTTTCCACAGTTTGGCTATTGTGGACATTGCTGCTATAAACATTGGGGTGCACGTACCCCTTCGGATCCCTACATTTGTATCTTTGTCTCCCTTGTTTCTTATATATTCCTTTTTTGCTTTTGGTTTTGTTTATCATTTCATTTTCATTCCTTTTTTCTTTTTCTTCTGAAGTTCTTCACTGATTATTATCCCAGTTTAGCTTTGATAGTTAATAAAGGCTACAGTAAAGTATAATGAGTCCTGAAGCTTACAAGACTTGACCGTTGATGTTACTCTGAACTAATAATGATGTTTTTGTCCAGTTTATTACTTCTAGCCTATTTTGTTCTCGGAAGTCGGACTTCCTGTTCTCTACAGTGTTTTGTTCACGTTCACTCATTTACTTCGATTTTTTTTTTTTTTGCCTGCTTGATTTTTATATGTCAGAGCTTTCATATGGGATAATGTCCCTACCTGAAATACAGGTATCAGACTTTCTTGGTTAGGGTCTGGAGGCTGTATAACACTTCATTATTTCTTACTATGGAGTGTTTTTATTTTATTCTCATTCTTTTTTTTTTTTTAAGATTTTATTTATTTATTTATTTGAGAGGGAGAGCAAAAGAGCACAAGCAGGGGGAGGGGCGGGCAGAGGGAGAGGGAGAAGCAGACTCCCCACTGAGCAAGGAGCCCAA